GTCCCAATCAAAATTGAATGAGTTATCTAGTACTCCTTGATTTCTTATAGTATTATAATGTCCTTGGGTAATTTCTGCTTCTGTACACCATCACTAAATCTACTGTTACCCTTGTGTTATTCTTATGTTAACAAAATCGTCAGACTGTGGGCAGCGAGAAGACAGGAATATGCGGGACGACTGATGAAAAGACTCTAGGAGATCTGGATTTCGTGCGTGAATGATTTATGCTTAATGTTACACAAACTCGAAGACTTACGAGTAAAAATCAACAAACTGGCAGAGAAGACAGGACTCCAGATGAACATAGAGAAGACAGAGGTGATGAAGATAACCGACTGACCACCAGCAGTTACAACCATTACCATCAACGGGAGGGATTTAACAGAGGTTACCTCCTTCACTTAATCCGGCTAGGAAGCATCGTTCCAACTACAGGCACACGGAAGAGATGAAGATGTTAAAGCAGGCGAGAATGGGAAAGGCGAGGTATGCCTTTATCGACCTGCAGCACAAATGTGAAGTCGATCCTCCTATACGTGTAAGAAACTTGGTCAGCGCGTCACAAAGAGGATTCCCAACATGCTGCAGCAGACTTTTATCAACAGGTGTCTTCGCTGACTCCATACTGAAGATCAAATGGCCAACCAGAAAGAATAAGCAACAAAAAACTATGGGAACAAACCAGCCAAGAGAAGATCGCTCAACAAATATGTAGGAGAAAATGGAGATTGATCGGGTATACATTGAGGAGACCGTCGAATGGTATCGCGCACAATGCAGGCCATTGCTCAAGTGGAGTCCAAATGGGAAGCAACGAGTGGGTCGTCGGTGCGGGGATGACATGGAAGGGATGAGAGACTATGAACAATCGTGGACCCAGCTGAAGAGGATGGAAGAAAATAGAACGAAGTGAAGATGTGTTGTTGAAGCCGTATGTTCCACTCGGAACCCAAGGGAATAATAATAATATGTTAACAGAATAACATTCTCTATCCTGTGAATAGTATTTACTAATTAGTTGGATTTATTATGGGGATTTAATTGAGCTCAGTATATATAGAGAAACTTTTCCCCTACTACAGAACTCTTGTGAAGTGTGAACTCACCACCGAATGAGTGATCAGAACCAGATCTGCTATGACTTTTAAAGAAAATATTATCAACCGGCTAATGGCCTAGAATTACCAACATTCGCAAATTTGCAGTCAAGGTTTACTACCATCCTTAATGACGAGGCATCCATGATTAAACATCGAAGAGCATCAAACAGTTTTTATCTTCACACTGATCTGCAATTCTTTTTATTATTTCGGAAACAGCACAGTCTAACCATGAACAGACGTGTGTATGGACAGGATAGTTAGTTTAACAACAAGTCAAGGTGCTCAGTACTTTGGAAATGACAGACAGTCAATACATCAGCGGCAATGTGAGTAATTTTCGTAGAACGTTGTTATTTCGCACTAGTCTGAGCAATGCACACCTGCAACACTCAATGAAGTGCGACTCATGAAACATTCCTTTCATCTGTAAAGTCCCGAGATAGAAAAAAGCATGTCTTAGTGTGGAGAATTTCAACGGTAAGCCCGACAAACTTCGTGAGACTGTATTCTTTTTTAGTTTGACAACAAAAATTTATATAAATCTATGCGACGTTGAGTATGTATATTTGCGGAATTGTTACTAAAACCACATCAGATGGTCTTAGGTCAGTTCACTGGAAACAAAATAGTGGACGATGACAGTCGTGTATATTAATTCGAATACTGATCAATCTTCGAGGGTTGAATGCAAAGATTTTTGAGTGATAGGCAACTGGTCGATGGCCATTGAGGTGTGACTGACTGATTGCCTACGAGTAGCTCCTGGATAATTTCTACACATAAATGAAGCCTTTCCTAATGCGTCCGGACAAAATCATGACCCAGGTGACAACTGAACTCAAAACTGTCAGAATATGAGACTGACTCAACAAACGGCTACTCTACTAAGTACCATTCTAATTCGGCTACTGTTCAATCTAACATAGTAGATGATGATAGACCGTGTGTAGTTGAAACCGGATTAAAACCAACAGACTCTGCATTACACGTCCAAGCCTCAGCCGGCTGACTAATGTAATTAATCTGTTGGAATTGGAAAATTTCGCCAAGCACTTAGCATGAAGACGGTGAACAGAGATATGATTATTACTGGTTGACATAAATGCCTGAGCAAAACCCATTGGTGACTGAAACTAGATTAAAAATCCAACCTAGGAGCTTAATGGATAAAACGCTAACTTCTCTGTCCGGATTCATAGAGCTTGGCACCGAAGTGCAGCAGTTCAAGTTGTCACGTTCCAAATATCACACAAAGGTAGACAAGAAGATGAGTGAAGAGAATCAATAGAGTTTTGACAAGTATAAGAGTGAAACAGAATGAATAATGGTAGAAAGGAATATGAAAGATTACAGAGACTGAATACATCTGCGTAAGCCATTGACAACGATTTTGAGCCATGTCACCTATTGTCTCCAGCCATTGTTGCTTAGAGTCCCGAGGGTCCCAACCTGGAAGTCTGCATCTCCCTACCTGACTCAGTTTAACTGTCAGGGATTTCATGGATTGATGCCAAGTTTTTGTTTGGCCACCACTTACTCTTTTCCAACCTGCACCTATATCAGCAAGTAATGCCCGTCGGGGGAGGCGATGGTTAGGCATGCGCAGCCATCTCAATCTATGTAACTTTATAGCCTCGTCGATCGATTTTCCCTCTTTGCCCTACACTCTACGCCAAACGTCAACATTACTTACCTTATTATACCACCACCTAACGTGAGAAAGAGATCGTAAACATCTGTGGTCAAAAACAGACAATCTCTTCATGTCTTCCGCTCTCAATGGCCACGTCTCACCGCCATAGAGAAGGACGGAGCGAACTGATGAGCAGTATACACGTCCCTTGGTTAATAGTGGGATGTCACGCCTACGCCAGAGACGGTGTAAGTTAGCGAAAGCAGCCCGAGCTTTCTGGATCCGTGCTGAGATTTCGTCACCAATCAATCCGTTGGTGCTGATACAACTTCCCAAATAGGTGAAGTGGTCAACATGTTTTATCACTTCACTCCCTATCACTAAGCTAGGAGTTGACGTAGTCCAGTCCTGTAGCAGCATCTTACATTTCACAGGGGCGAATCGCATGCCAAACATACGAAGATTGCTGCTCAAGGTGTTCAGAAAACTCTGCATTTTGTCAGCATCCTCCCCTAACAGGACTATGTCATCTGCATATTTTAAGTCCATAAGACTATTTCCTGGTAACAAGTCGATTCCTAAGTCGTTAAGTTCAATTAAGGATACTTTCATTAGCATATCCTTGATGAAGTTAAAAAGAAATGGGGAAAGTGGACATCCCTGATAGACACCACTGGTTGTAATCAATTCAGATGACAATTCCCCATAAGCCCTTACACGGCTACGTGAGTTTGAGTAGAGTGCCTTGATTAGTGCATTGTACTTTCTTGGTACTCCCTGCAAAAACGCTAACTTAGCAACCCATAGATCCCAGACTTCAATTCTTTGGAGAACGTTTTATCCTTTCCCCTTTAATAATCAATTATCACATCGATTTGTGAAATATTTACGGATGACTTAGTCTGATAGCACTATTTATTTTACTCCTTTGCGTTTCCAGTGGAACACAGGCGATTCAAGCTTGAGCCTGAAAGTTTCAGTAGCGATGGTATTTTTTCTACTTGGTGGAGTTGCTAGTCTCACGCCCAACCTTTCCCCACTGTTGGGCTTAAAACCAGTTAAGGGAGGTAAAGGTGTGCGCTGGCCGGTAATCGAACCCCGGAGCACACTCATGGTTGGCAAGCATTGGGGTCCCAAGTTCCGCTTACTCTATATTCAAAGATTGGAATCCTGTCCGTTTTTGTTAACTTCAAATCCCTACTGACCACAGTAAGTTCTTGCACATAATTTTGCAGATGTGTAGTGTCAACAGATTTGTTGTTTCAAATCGCACAATCAAAACAACCCGCTGTTTTGATGTCAATAAGTGTCTATACACTCACTAAAGACAGTAGAAATGACACATCTAAAATATAACACCTATGCATACACTGCCTATACCTCACCGATGATATATGTCTGATTTCCTACAAACTGGAAGATATGCAAGTGAGAAGCAACAAGTTGGCAGAAGAAGCATCAAAGATAGAAATTCCTTTAGGTGAACATAGAGAAAACAGAGATGATGAAGATTCCTGGGCAACACCACCAACAGCAACAACAACAACTGACAACAATCAGCATAAATGGGAGGAACCTGAAAGAAACAACCTCTTTTACCTACCTGGGAAGCATCGTTTCAACTACAGGCGGATGGAACTGACAAGGATATCAAAGCAGCGAGGATCGGGAAAGCAAGACAAGCTTTCACTACTCTCAAGTCTGTGTGGAGGTCAACAGCACTCAGCATCAAAAATAAGATCCGGATTTTCAACTCCAATGTGAAGTCAGTGCTACTCACTACACGGATCAGACACTTGCACTGCGCGTCATAAAGAGCATCTCGAACAAAGTACAGACCTTCATTAACAGTTGTCTTCGCTCAATACTCAAGATCAGATAGCCGGCCAGAAAAGATCAGCAACAGAGATCTCTGGATGAGCGAACCAGTCCAGCAGGAACCGACTGTGAAACAAATAGGCAGGAAGAAATGGAGATTGATTGGCTGGCCACACTCTGAGGAAACAAACCATCAAGTGACATCACTAGACAAGCCATTGCTCGCGTGGAACCCGAAAGGGAAGCGACGAGTTGGTCGTCAGTGCAAGGGTGACTTAGAGTAGGTCATGTGAAGAGGAGATGAAAACGTGTGAGCAGACTTGGAGCCAGGTGAAGACTCTAGCAGAGAACCGAACGCAATGGAGACGCACGGCTGAAGCCCTATGTTCCTCTAGGAATTAAAGGAAACAATAATAATAATAGAGTAGATTGAAGTATTTCGAAGCAAATATATATATCTGATGAATACATTTTATTGATAGAAAAATATCTTATAATTTATGTGTGTATATATATACACACAAACATATGTACAATATTTATTCAGTCCATTTATGCAAACATTCAACATTGGTACAAACATAATACAGACGCATATTTTCTTCAGCTTTCAATGTTTGCGATTGGAAGAATACAGCTTCTTGTTTACCACATCGACGACATATATGATCTTCAGTACGTGGTAAAGTGGGATCATGAACAACATCTGGAACGATCAGCGCTAATTCACTTTAAATAAGAATCAAAACAAAATACATAACAAATCAAGATTACATACACAGTGAGTGGTCCGGGAAAAATAGATGAAAATCTAAAGTGTTAACGTTCAACATAAAAAAAGGTTTCAGTAAAGAAGATGTAGACTTCCTGACTGGTTGGGCTCCTAGGGACGCCAAAAACCAATGGTTGGAGACAAGTGGTGACATGGCTCAAAATCGTTCTCAATGGCGCAGATGCATCCACTCCTTGTGATTTATAATATCCAATAAAACTATGCTATTCTACTGTGGTGAGTGCTACTTATAATCCGATATAAGTAGTATATCAGGAACGAAGTAACAACATGTTTGGCACACTGAAAAGAGCAATCAAAGAAGAGAACCATGAGAAGAATGTTGCCATATGATGCAGAATCCAAGAAGCTATCGAATGAGACGATATTCGACCAATTCGTCAAGGATGTGGTGAAGATGTGCAAATGGCCGGTTTAGAATATGGTATTCCAAATTTAGCTATGTACCATACGTTTCACCAAATAAACAATCCTTTCAGTCTCCTCAGTCTTGTCTTCTTCACATTTGGTGTCGCTGCCTCTGTCGGAGATGAAGGTGCCGTGGCCGCAGGTGTTCGAGGATGGAGATGTGCGGACGTTCCTCAGGGACTTCGAAGCTGTCGCGGAGCTGGTTGGAGTGCAGGAGCAGAAGGCGAAGCTGGTGGTCTTGGGGACGCTGCTGAGGGGCCGCGCGAAGGCTGCGTACGACAACGCTCGGGAGCTGGAAGGTGAGGCGGCGTGGGACAAGGTCGTCGAGAGGCTCGTGTGCGAGTTCGACAGCCCTGCGGACAGACAAGAGGCGCTGCAGAAGTTTCGGACGCTGAGACTTGGCCAGGATGGGGATCCGTTGGTTCTCGCAGTAACGCTGACGAATCACCTGCGACGCGCGTTACACACCCTAGACGAAGATTCACGGGAGCAATTGCTGGCATCTCAGTTCCTCGAATGCGTCCCGACAGATATCGCCCATCAGTTGCAGATAGTTGACGCAGCTCAGCCAATGGATGTCTATGAAATGGCCAAGGTGATAAGGCAGATAATGACCTCGCATGTTGCTCCAGTGATGTCGGAGGGCCAAGATTCCAAGAAGATTGAAGACCAGATTGAAGAGTTGAAACAACAGGTGGCAGCTATGCAGAAAAAAACAAACAACAGGTGCTTTGCTTGCGGAGGAACCGGTCACTGGCAGAGAAACTGCCCGAAAAGAAGGCAGAAAAACCTTTAACGATAAAGTCTTCCTTCTTTTTCTCGCTCGCGTTTAGAGGTGGTCGGGTTAGTCGAAAGAGGTTCAGTGTACGGGAGATTACGAGTGAACGAAAAAGAAATAGTTTGTTTGATCGACACAGGGGCGGCAGTTTCGTTGATAGGTAGAGAACAGTGTAAGGAAATAAGGCCGTGCACATTAGCAGTTCAGACGGTAGGAGGACATCCGTTGCACATTCTTGGCGTTTCAGACTGCGTTGTAGAGATTGGAGCAGGAAAAATACGATATCCGTTTATTGTAACTTCTGATATAAGACGAACGATTTTGGGAGCAGACTTTCTCAGAGAAGTAGGAGCTGTAATCGATATGAAGAATAGAAAAGTAGTCACAAAACACGGGCAATTCGCGATACATGAGAATAGTGAAGTCGCTGAGGTGGAAACCACAACCATTGTTCAGCAAGAAGCACCACGTCTAACCACGTTGATGAGTAAATATGCCGGTTTATTCACTAGTGATGGAGACCCATACGGTTATTGTGATAAGGTAAAGCATAACATCCCACTGAAGGATACGGGGAAGACAGTCTTTTCATCGCGACGAGTTCCGGTTCACCTTGAAGAAGAAGTTAACCGACAAGTCAGAGAAATGTTAAACGACGGAATAATCGAAGAAGCCGACAGTCCGTACAGTTCGCCAATCCTTTTGGTGAAGAAAGCTAACGGGAAATATAGATTTTGTGTCGACTTCAGACAGCTGAATAGCCTCACCGAAGTAAAACAGTGTGTAATGCTTACCGTAACAGAAACTCTTGATCGCCTTCATAAAGCCAAGTTATTCACCGTGTTCGACCTACGATCGGGTTACTGGCAAATCCCAATAGCAGAAAGTGATCGAAGTAAAACAGCTTTCACAGTCGGGCAGAAACAATACCAGTTTAAACGAATGCCATTTGGATTGGTAGGTGCCCCATTTACATTCAGAAGATTAATGACCTTATTACTGAAGGGTCTGAAGAACGTAGAAGTATATGGAGATGACTTGGTGGTGTATAGTGAGACAGAAAGCGACCATATAGACCACATCGAAGCTATCTTAAAGAGAATTGATGACTTTGGACTGCGTATTAATAAGCACAAGTCCCAAATAGCTAAAAACACGGTTGTCCTCCTGGGTTACAAAGTGGGAAATGGCGAAATACGGCCATTGCCGGAGAAAATCCTGACGGTCAAAACCAGCGAAGTGCCAAATTCAAAGCGAAAGCTGAGACAGTTTTTGGGAAGAGCGGCATTCTACAGCCGATTTGTCAAAAATTTCAATGAGATAGCTAAACCGCTATATATGTTGCTGAGTGATGCGAAATTCATGTGGACGGAAGAGGCACAGCAAACGTTTGAGCGAATTAAAGAGCTGTTAGATGGTCAACAGATGACGTTGAAACTGCCAGCTCCGGGGAAGCAGTTCACAGTTTCGACAGACGCCAGTGATTATGGTATAGGTGCTGTTTTAAGACAAACAGATGGGGTTGTTGAATACGCTAGCCGTGTGTTGACACTTGCAGAACAGAAGTATTCTACGGTGGGAAAGGAGTGTTTAGCTATCGTATGGGCACTAGAAAAATGGAGACCATATCTGATCGGCCGCCGATTCCACATTGAGACCGACCACAAACCTCTTCAGTGGTTGAAAACAGCACGGGATCCACGAGGGAAGTTATCACGATGGATGTTACGCCTACAAGAGTATGACTTCACGATTGGACATATTCCAGGAAAAGAAAATGTAATAGCTGACTATTTGTCGAGATCAGATAATGAGACTGAACTACCAGAGGTAGCGTATCCAGTAAACGCTTTGGAGCAAGATCCCTTACAACTTGTTCGCCACCAGAAGTCGGATCCTACTCTTAAGACAGTCATGCAGATGATACGTGAAGGGAAAGAAATTGAAATGGCAGCAGAGAATAAAGAGTTAAAGATGCTACTGCAGCAAAAACATAGACTCAAACTAAACGCTGCCGGCGTCCTAACTTGGAAAGACAGTGATGGTAGCTGGGTTACAGTGATACCAAAGAGCCTTCGTCGTGGGGTGATTCAAGAATGCCACCAACTAGCCCATACAGGAGTTACACGAACATACGACCTAGTGAGCCAAAGTGCATACTGGCCAAACATGAGAGGCGATATTGCAAACTACGTACTCGCTTGCCCACAGTGTCAATTGATGAAGGGTGATCGGTGCATTCGACCGCAGCTACAAACGATACCCGTAACGGCGGTTGGTGACTTATGGTCCGTGGACATAATGGGTCCTTTCCCTCAAACAGCAAGTGGAAATCAATACATTTTAATGATGACGGAACACGCCACGCGGTGGGTAAATGCTGTAGCGATTCCAGATCAGCGCGCCAAGACCGTAACCGAGGCGGTCATTCGACATATTGTGGCGGATCATGGTGTACCGAAAATGATATTGACAGATCAAGGCCCCTGTTTTGAAAGTGAGGAGTTCAAGACTCGTCTGGAGGCACTGGGTATTAAGAGGATTAGAGCGACTCCGTATCATCCGCAGACAAACGGCTTAACCGAAAGGAACAATCGTACACTCAAGGAATGGTTAGCTGCGAAAAGAGGCAACTGGGAAACTGACTTACCGTTGGTATTACTAGCACATCGTGCCACAGTACAAGGGACAACAAAAAAGTCGCCTTTCCAGCTGATGTATGGGAGGAAAGCACGCTTACCGGTGCACCATAAGACTTGGCCACAACAACAAAAATGGAACAGTAAGAGATGGACAAATGAGCGGAAACAAGCTATTCAGAATATACAAGAGAAGCGCAAGAAAGACATCGAAAATTATGGCAAGAAACAAATCAAAGCTTGGAAGCTGTTTGAAGTAGGTGACCAGGTGAAATGTAGAGAACGAAAGTATACTACCGGAAGTGGACCAGGATCAGGAAAGCTTCTGCCGAAGTGGGAGGGACCATATGTGGTCACATCGAGACGCGGTCCAGTGTACACAATAAAGAGAGGAGATAAAGAGAAAAGAGTAAACGCCAGTCTGCTACAAAGATGGAGAGAAGAATGTCAAGATGAGGTACCAGAAGAGCAGCAGGAAGAAACGTCTGTGCGGCGATCAAGGCGGTTACAGGAGAGACTTTATAATGAGGGGGCGAGTGTGGTGAGTGCTACTTATAATCCGATATAAGTAGTATATCAGGAACGAAGTAACAACATGTTTGGCACACTGAAAAGAGCAATCAAAGAAGAGAACCATGAGAAGAATGTTGCCATATGATGCAGAATCCAAGAAGCTATCGAATGAGACGATATTCGACCAATTCGTCAAGGATGTGGTGAAGATGTGCAAATGGCCGGTTTAGAATATGGTATTCCAAATTTAGCTATGTACCATACGTTTCACCAAATAAACAATCCTTTCAGTCTCCTCAGTCTTGTCTTCTTCACACTACCATATTACTGTTTATTTTGTCTCATATTTCTGCTTATTATCACTCTTTCGAATCTTTCTCTACTTACTTCTCTTGCTTTGTGTGCTACGTGGAGTGTGGCAACTCAAACTGCTGCACATCTGTGCAAAGTTCTACGTTTAAACCAGTCAGTCATATCTCTGCAATGCTGGGACCATTGCAGGTATTTTCTGTCTCCATGGCGGTTGATTTCACGCCGCACTTTAATATCAGGTGATGGCACATAAGCAGTATATTTGTCAAGGGTAGTTTCAATTTAGCAAAGTAAAAATTCCTAGAAAACAATGAACTGAGTGTGTAACTTACCAGTACGAACACTCATTCGTTTCCTACATTGTGTGTACACCTAAATACACGTCCATCACCAGCTTCTGAACATTGTTGCAGGTACAAGCAGGCACTACAAGAACATTTGCAGCTGGCTATACGCGCTATCAATCCATTGTCCAACCAGTACTTAAAAACGTGATCTACATGAAATTTGCTCCTTAGGTGAATGACGTTCATATTAGCACTATAATCATGACAGGTCTCGTTATCCAACGAATAGCAAGCGTTCAAGGCCACTGGAGCGTTCGAACTACGGGGCCATGTGATACTTTAACTTGACCATGAAAGGAACTACACCAATGATAGGGGCAGTTAAACTTTTTTTTAAAGTACTATCGATTGACAATTATCTTCATTTGTTTAAGGTTAGACCGTGGATTGCTATCAGTTAGAGAACCATTGAAAATCAGCCGCAGGGAGTACTGGAAAGCTGTTTCGTCGCCCTAGTTTGGGACTCATCGGCAGTACGCATCCACTGGGTTTCGAATCCAGGACCTTCCGGTTACAAGACAAGCTCGCATACCATTCAGCCACTGGGATGCGATTCAATGGCCAGCCCATGAATTCTAACTTCTACCAATTGGTGATTTTAGAGCGACTGGCACCACCCAATGTCATCGGCGGGAAGTCCATCCTCACTTCCGACTGGATGGATGAAAATTATCTTCATCTTGAATCCTTTTATACACATTATAAGTCCCTCTCTTATTAAGAATTCATGAACTACAAACGAATGAAAGCGTGATTACCTTATCAATTATGCATAACAAATTAGAACTTCCTGATAAGTTTCAAAAAAGTGCTAAACAAACCTTTATACTTTTAACATCTAAATTCAAAGTAAAAAGCAAACAAACGCATAGGTGCATAATATTTTTATACCACTTATCATGATGACCAGATCACCCATTTAACCAAGCAATTTCGATCAGTTTTTTTGTAACAGGATGAGCTACACTGATCAGCACTAGATAATCGACTAGTCTGAAGGTGAATGTGTTTAGTTGACGATATGTTTATTTAATTTATAAAATACTTTCTTTCAACCTATAGTCGATTTATCCATCCATTAATATGAAGATTCCTATATTTTACATTAATTTATAAAGATATCTGTAGGCAACAAGTTCTTAAAATAATGGGACAGTCATCTGAGGTTGCATTAATAATAACAATAATACTGGAATCTATAGGTTGAGGAGGGGGGCGGCGTGAATATCAAACATAAACTATTCGTTAAATCACTTACTGATGTTGTTAAAACTTAATATTTTAGATTGCTGATTTATAACCAACAACCTACCTAATGAAATTTGAATAACTACTTAGCATTATATTATCGTTCGCTTGGATTTCGAATAGAACACACGGCTTCTGCTGTCCTCTTTATTATCTGGGTCCGCAATTGATCATAGTCTCTCATCTCCTACCCCCCCCCCCATTACACGATCTCATCCATGCCACTCGTTGCTTCCCATTCGGATTCCACTCGAGTGATAGCCTGCAATGAGCGCGATATCATTGAACAGCTTCCTCAGCGTATGCCCAATCCATCTCAATTTTCTACTGCACATTTGTTAAGCAATCGGTTCTTGGTTAGTCCAACCCCATAGTCCCTTGTGGCTAATTCTTTCTGGCCAGCCAGCAATCTGATCTTCAGTTTGCAGCCAGAGAAGGGAGCAGCTGTTGATAAAAGTCTGACGTAGTCTGTTGAAAATGCTTTACGTGGCGCGCTGACCAACTTCCTCACACACAGAGAAGCACTGACTGACTTAGCATTGGTGTTGAAAATACGAATCTTGTTCTTTATACTGAGTCAGTGCAAAAAACTTCCAAACTGATTTCAAATTGATGAAGGTCTACCTTGCCTTTCCGAACTTATCCAGCTATGATATTCTCATCCCTGTTGTCTCCTGTGGTTGAAACGATGCTTCCTAGATAAGTGAAGGAAGTAACCTCTGATAGTGATTGGTGCTGGTTGTTGTTGTTGCCGATGTTTGTTGGTGATCTTCGTCCCCTGTGTCTTCTCTATGTTTAACAGCAGTCCTGTCTTCCCTGCCTGCCAGCCTTTTCAGTCAGTTTGTTGGTTTTCACCTGCAAGTCTTCCAGTTTGTGTGACATTCTAAATAAATCATCCACGCACGAAATCCAGATCTTCTGGAGTTTTCTTATCCGTCTAACATCTGTTGCATAATCCAATTCACTACAATTAAGAACATCATCGGTGATAACAGGCAGTCAGCTTGTCTTACTCCTGTATGCACCCCGAACGCTTCGCTGAGTTTCCCTTGTGGATCACTGACACATGGCATTGTCATATTGCCAGCTGCTGAATGAGGTTGATAAAGAATTGGGCACTGTACACGATAGTGTTGAAGTAGTTTCCAAACTACTTCTTGGTCAAAGCTGTCGAAGGGCTTTTCGAAGTCGACGAAGTTAAGGTACAGGTTTGACTACTATATTCTATACTTTGTTCAATGATGATGTGTAGAGTTACAATTTGATCAGCACACACACACACACACACACACGAATTGCCTTTCCTGAATCCAGCTTGTTTCGGGTTGGCAGACTTCTGCACATCCAGTGAATCTTTTATTCTCTCCAGAATAACACGACTTAGTATTTTACTTGACGTTGACAAGAGCATTATTCCGCGCCATTTCTGACATAGTGCTGTAAGCGATTTCTCATATGCGCATTACATTCAATCAGAGATAAATGAATATTCTCAACTCCTCTCAGTTATTCAAAAATAAAACAAACCACTAGGGCCTGACGATGAAATATATACGATTAAAAATATTAACTCTAAGAATACTTACTCAACTTCTTGTTCAAGTTTATTTATATAAACACAAGGATTATCTGCTTCCTGTGAATAATCACAATTACGACAGGCATAAAATAAGGTTTTTGTGTGTTTATCCTCTTTTGGATATAACATATTATTACATTCACTGCAGAATAAAATTCCAACATTTGGTTTTGTATCATACTAAAAATACAAAAGTGAATGAGTGATGATGATGATTTCAGAGAAAATATTTTTGAACATACTGTTTCCATTTTCTTTGTTTCCAATGAATTGAATGCCTTATATAATAGACAGACAGATAGGTAGACAGAGCACTTTTATATGGAATTACTATATAAAATAAGAAATCAAAAATTAGATTAAATATTTTATGACAGAAGTTAGTAAAAGAAGATGATATTAAAAACAGAAGATAGATATTATTATTATTTCAATATTATATTATTATATCATTATTATTATTATCACCGTACTTAGAACACAGGATATAGATAGATTTTTCAAACACATCAACTCAAAGGTGGAGGCAATTCAATTCACTGATGAATTGGAAAGTCAGGAACTCAGGGAGCTTCCAATGTTAGATTGCAGCGTAAAAAGGAAAGAAGATGGGAAGTTAAACACTAGTGTTTACAGGAAACCCACACATTCAAACAGATATTTGGACTTCCAATCATCTCATCCTATATCAGTAAAAATAGGATTGGTGAAATGTCTAAGAGACAGAGCACAAAAACTAAGTAGTACCAAGGAAAATCTAAGACAGGAAGTGATACACATAAAAGAAGCCTTGAAACTTAATAATTACCCTGATAAATTAGTCAGGAAATAGGTAAGGAAATGTAAAAATAAAATAAATAATGATAGTAGCGATAGTGATAATAACAATAATAATGATAATAATAATAGTGATAATAATAATATTAATGACGACACCAACAATGAGGAATCTAAATCATCAGTAGTAATTCCATGCAAGGAAGGAACCTTGGAAACCTTACGCAGAATTCTTAACAAGGCAGGAATAAAAACGGCATTCAAACCCACAAACTCAATTGGAAACATGCTTTGTCGGTTAAAGGATCAATCCTGTGGAGCCTTTAAAACGAAACAATTTAGTTTATCTAATACCCTGCTGAAATGATTGTCACGTCAAATACATAGGTCAAACTAGTAGAACAGGGGCAGTCAGACTAGCCGAACATAAAAACCTAGCAAAATCTAGATTGGTTGATCCAAATAAGATAAGAAATCTAGAGAATAGTTCAGCCGTAGATAGCACTCACTACATGCAATTACACACAAACATACAATAGGATGGGATAGGACGACAGTTTTAAAATCTAATGTCACAGGGTGGAGGGAGAGATCGATAACAGAAGCTTTGTTTATCGAATCAACTGCAAATACATGTAATAGGAATGGTTCAACACCTGTCCAGCCGGATATCTGGAAAATTCTACTATCCCTATGACAAATAGGAGAGAACAAAGAAAACTATAAAAGTCAAGTTTCAAAGTCGTGTGATTACAATTGACATGATTATGAACAATAAATTTTGAGGATGTCCGAGCTACGGTTGATGCTCTCCTATGCTGAGGGGCTTTCACTCAATGGCCGTGATGCATCGAGAATGCGTAGTGCCTTGTCAATGTCGCTAGCCGCGTCATTGAAGCTTTAGTGCCCCGCTGAGCATGGCAATGGCTTCTTTAATACGAAACTCTGTTGTACTGCAGCAGTCACTACACAGCCAGTTTACCAGAGGCTTGCAGCAGCGTTTGTATGCTGCGGGGATTAGGTTGGTACACATGCTGTGGAACCAACGCTTGCATTTGTCACAACAGATGCCTTCGTCGACTGGAAATTGACACGTAAGTCTCTCGCGATGGTTTCTTTTTACAGGCATACTTTCAAAATGAAATATGACTATAGAGTTCAAGCACGACCTAATTTTTTTAATTCGTTTACGTTCCCAGTGGAACATAGGGCTTCAAGCTACAGCTTTGAAGTTACGGTAGCAGTGGTGTGTTTTTGCGGGATACAGTTGTTAGCTTCATGCCAAACCCTCCCTCTTTACCAGTCTTATTACTGGCTTAGAGAGGTGTAGGAAAGCGTCGGCCGGGGATCGGACCCCGGCCCACATGCGTGGTTGGTGAGCCTTCTACCACTGGGCCACCGACGCACAAGCATTACCTTAGGAAGAAAATCGGATGGATAGTAACTATACTTGTTGCGAACTTTGGAAAGAGAGTGAATTTTGCATGTTTTACTTCTATTTCAGCTTTTGTTGCGTTATACGCCCCACAGGCCTACACATTCACTTTAACTCAGTTTATTCTGGTCGAAGTTAGTTTTGTTTATAAGTTTCGAGTCCATTTGCTGATAAGATGTGTGCTTTTGAAATATTGTTGTCATTATCATCAATAATGTTATCACAGCATATCTGGAAAACAACTTGCTGTTCAGAGCACAGAGTGGCGCCCGAGGAAACCTCTCACGCCTGTCAAACTTTCTTACAGCAGGAGAAAGCTGGATTAAGTCAGAGGACAACAGAAGACCCGTCGACGTTGTCTTCATAGACTTCAGAAAAGCCTTCGGCAAAGTGCCGCACAATAGACCAATCGCAAAAATGGAAAGTCTTGGAATCAAAGGAGGCTTACTAAATTAGATTAGGGAATTTCTCATACGAGGAAAGACTAGACAGTTTAAATCTCTTCTCCTTGTCATACCGTAGGCAGAGAGGAGATTTAATCACAATGTTTAAAATTTTAAATAATGACTACGGACCTGACCTATTCCCTCTTTTCCTTCCCACCAGGTCGGAACACCTTAGAGGACATAGCAGGAGAGTTCAAAAGCCAAGAAGAAATCATATTGCTGTTGAGTACTGGTTCTCACACCGAGTCATAAACTCTTGGAACCGACTCCCAGAAGAAGTGGTGTCTGCAACGTCAACTAATTCGTTCAAGAAGGGTTTGGACAACCACAGAAATTTACTAGAAAGGATTAACATAGGCTCCAAGCCTTCTATCCTCAACCAATAAATCTGAAATCTAAATCTGAAGGAGAGAGTCAGGATCAACTAAACTCTGGACAACAGTACGTAGTGGAGTAGTGGTACAAGGTACTGTACTCGGTTTCTTCTTATTTATTGTGTATATGGGTGAGTTATCTGTGCTCACTGATTCCCCTATGGTCATATACGCAGACGACTTAAAAATTTGGAAAAAGGTGAAGGGCAACAGGGTTCACGTTGCAGAACTCAACAAATTGTTAGAGTTGTCCAAAGGATGGATGCTCCCGATCAATGTAGGGAAATGCGCATCTGTGGGCAGTGGACACTCAAGCGTCACCTCCTACGAACTAGAGGGAATAACACCCCTATCAGTTCAGACTCATTCGGAATCACGATTTAAATACTACACCACATTGTCACGCAGTGGCTGCACGTAGTTTCAGATCTTTATGAGGAGTCCGCAACGCCTTTGCTAGAATTACCAGAGATATGTTCACCTCTTTATATTCAGCTCCGGTGAGGCCAAGACTGGAAAACTGTATCTAGGCAGCCAGTCCGTGTCTCAAAAGGGGTCTCACGTATTCCAGAAAGAGTTCAGAGGAAGGCAACAGGTATGACTCTTGGTATGACTAATTTATCATACGAGGAAGGACTAAACAGTCTAAATCTCTTCTCCCTGTCATACTGTATTAGGCAGAGAGATCTTATCACAATGTTTAAAATTTTAAACGATGACTACGGACCTGATCTATTTGCTCTTTTTCTCCCCACCAGGTAGTAATAGGCTGGGCAAGAGAGTTCAAAAGCCAGGGAGAAAATATGTTGCTGTGGAGTATTGGTTCTCACAGCGATTCATCACCTCCTGCGACTGACTCCCAGAAGTGGTGTCAGTGCCCTCAAGGATGTCTTTACCAATAAAACGGAAGACTAAATCAATTTCCTAGAGGAGTCTCATTGACCCGTGACATTGTGCGGGCAAAAAGGAAAGCGAACTTAAACGTAAGTGCGTAACTACACACTCACGTTGTCAGTATCTTATGGAACTAGACACCCGAAGTAACACCAACCTCAAAATTACCGCTTATGTTTCTCAATCTTTCAATGAATTCATTACAAAACAGTAATAATACCATTTGTTTTCTTTAGGGTTTTCACCAAATCTGTTTTATTTCTTTTCTTGTAAGTTATGTGGCTTGTGTGTTTTTTCAGTAGTCGTTTTGATGAGGTAATATCTTGATGGGTGAACCAGACCTCGACAACTACATAGTTTTTCCTTGGGTTTCAATAAATTGTTATTTTCCTAAAACTTACCTAACCTATTGTAAAAAAAATAAAAAGTGGACCATGTCCTAACACTGTTCTGAACCCTTAATTTGGTAAGGCAATTTTCGCTGGATTCGAATCCCGGTGGGCGCGTACTGATGAAGAGTCCCAAACTAGGACGAAACAGCTGTCCAGTACTCCCTGTAGGTTTTCCAGTGGTTCTCTAACTGACGTCAGCTCATGATGAAATCCTCCATGCAATTAAATACAGAAAAGAGGAAAAGGAATCTATTTGCCCGAGTCATTTTATGTCACAATACCTGCGCAAGTGATTGTCGGCTCTACACGAGTCCCTTAAGTTCCTTGACTTTTCATTGGTGCAGAATGAGCCATTCAGTACGATCTTGTAATCAAATTTAATATGCCTGCGGGGACAGTGTAAAGCCTAATCCTAAGCGCTGCGTCGTGCTTGCTATATTCTCAACTGTGGTTCCTGTGTAGAGTGAAGGCAGTCTGGAAAACTCATTGAACTGATGATTCTAGGAATATTTTTCCCTCATTCTTGCATTAATCCATCCCTACTCGTCGAGGTAATAGAAGATTCATGTAGCTAGTTGGATTGTTGCAATAACCAGTGTTCCATTTTGCCATGACTGTAAACTCTCGCGATAACTTGCAATCCTACACCCATGGGTGGCGTTAACATTCCGTTTTTCTTTCCCTATTTAGGAACTGTTGAGCCCTGCCACGCCAAGGAGTCAGCCGAATGGCACAAATTTACCACGATATGGGGCGGAGAGCAGGATAAATGAGCTCATAGCCTTCGAAGCATTGCCTCCTAATGAAGTAACTATACACAATCCTAGGAAAGTGGATGCATCACCTCCATATTAAAGGAACCAAGATTACCATGTGGATGCTTGTGAATACAAGAATCTTCTGAATCAGATAACTTTTACAAAGCAAAAACTAAAAGTGAGACCTGGCATGGTGACAAGTTAAGCAGTGATAAGATGTCACTGCACAAATAAATAAGTACGGAGGTTTTAAAAATTGTTTTTCTGCTGCCCACGACTTTACAGAACTTTTGTATGATTACCCTTGGAATTTGTTTTTCCCAGAGATAACGTTGGTTTTACCGAGAGCTATTGAAATGTGCTAAAAATTCAGAATACGAAATGATTAAGTCCGAGACCAGCAGAGTGCAATTCTGTACAAAAAATTGTATTCGCCTCAAATAAACCTTAGCTATCTGACAACAGGTTCGTTAAGAATGAATGCCCCTTATCTTGTGTCTTTGCTCTTTTACATATTAAGGCATGAAGAGATATTTCCTTCAATCAAGAGGCTGGGTAGACTGCTCCTTCACCTCCGCCTCCCCTGAAGGCAGGAAATAATAAGTTTGTGACAGCTCAAATGTATTCCAGGAAATAAGTATAGTGGCAATAATAAACAGCCAAAACAACTTATTCATAAAAAGCCGTGGTTACCCCTCGCAGAAGCAAATTCCCGCATGTGGATGGTGGAGTGGATAACTATCAACACAAACCTTTCGCGCCAGTGCATGTTTTGAATATCGCAGCGATCAAACGCTTCCTTCCAAATAAGCCACTGACATCAAAATAAGAAAGGCAGACCCTTTTTCTGTTGAGAGAAAACATGATTCAGAGACTGTCGTTCTCACAGAAGTATTTCAACCCTAGTTTGTTACTATATGAACACCATTCCCAAAAACAATTATTCAGAACATCTCATGCCAGCCAACTGGATCTACTGTCTTCCCGATGTAGGTACTGTTGTGTGTGGTTTTTTATACGTGCCTCACAAATTGCTGTGATGAGTCCGAATATGATGTTTGGCTATCCTAATTGTGTTTCGCTATTTTTCATACAGATGTAAATCCTCTTTCATCGTACACTCAACTGACATTGGTTAACTGTTTTGGCGGTTAGAAATTATTGCGATCCAATGGGTCACTGTTCATTTCTTGAGTTGTGGTTAAACGTGTAATTTTTTCTTCGTCAGTGTTTCCCAGTCATTTAGCCTAATATTCTGCTTTTTGCGATTTAACTGTGACAAGCCCTAGCAAAATTAATGAAGCCTTTTTTAGAAGCCCGTCGCCGTTAATCAGTGTGGGTGAAAGCAGAGCAGATCTTAATTGAAGTTTTCGTGAGAAAATGCTAAGAAATTACTTCATCCGGAAAGAAGTTGTGAATGCATTGGATGACTTTCAAAGAGTGAGAAGGTCAAAAGTGAATGGAAATATAGTAGTCTTTCACTCACTACGTTCATATTTTGGGCGAAAAAATGGCCAATAACAGATTTGAGTATGTGTATGTTGCTTATAGGTGAGCGTTTGATGTGAAAAGTTTGAAGTCAGGCCTTAAATTGGGGAGTAAGCTGTAAGGTGAAATGTATTGTGGTATTGTGTATATTTACGATACAAACTCAGTGACTGCTATTCTTCTTTCCTCAGGCTTTCACACTGTAGCGAGTACTAGACACTGTCCAGCAAGATGGCGCATAAACTACTATGCACGCCACTGTACATGGAAAACGACCCCTGGAGTGGGCTACCAATGGCAGAAGAGGAATAAAATGTGGAACAGCTTCTGCAACGCTCGCACTACTTGGATATCATAATGAAGCATGTAAAGAAGGAAACCGACCAGGAAATTACCAATTACGACTAAAGGAATGTGAAAGCATCCGTTAATAAAGGTATTATGGGCCTCACGTGAATTGATTTCATGAATGTCGAGGTCTTTCAGCTAATTGAATCTTGTGCAAATGTAATAGGTTTTTATTCGGACGAAGACATCCGAAATTCACTGACGAGAGTATTTTTCAACTTATGAGCAAACATGGTTGTAGAAACGGTTTCCAGAGGTTGTGGGAATTGATCCTACACACAGCTCAAACAGGGAAAAGTAAGTTCACTCATTCACCAATAAACATGCAGGTTTTTTGAGTTTGTCATAAGGGATAAGTTTCGACGCGGGCGTTCAGTTCTATTTGCTTGGACTAGAAAAGAATTTAAACCTATCGCAGTTTGGATACTAAGCAATGTCTGCCGAATAGACGTAGGATCCTACTTTAGAGGACTACTCATGTTGGTTAGTGTGATGTCAAACCAACGAAGAGTAATGCGTTGATTATTCTAACTTCTTAGATCTAATTTCCATTTCGGAACCATTACCAGATTGGATATTGCAGTCAATCAGTAAATTCAGCACAGTTGGATGAATCGGAGATACAGCTTTCAAATGGCCATGTGCTGACTATGGGGGACGTTACTAACGAAAAAGCTGAAAGTTCCCACAGACAAACGAAGTGCCATCCACAAAAATCAGATAGTCTGCACAGAAGTATTTTGGAGGTGTACAGTTAGAGTAAATAAAGCTCCTTACGAATAGATCAGGAGGCCACGACCGCTAAGTTCAGATATTTTGATTACGGTTGTTCTAAACCTTTAGTACCGACTCCAAAAAGCCGGACGTCACATGTCTCCCGAAAAGTCATCTTTGACCATAGAAAGCGACAGTGGAGTTGAAAAACAATTAAAGGAGGATGGAGGTTGATCTGTGTGTGTGTGTAAATCCAGATGTAGGACATCCCGTAGTTGTCGTCACCCCTGTCAACACATGCTGAATCCTCAACTTGAAAAAGCAGTGTTTTACTGATAAGTTGCACATATGATGTGTGTTACGACAGTGCCACCATTGGACATGGTCGCGCCATACGTATACACCTGCAAGCACGTCAGCAGCCTTCTCGTATAAATCGTGTGAAGAATACTTCACTAATACGAGGTTTGTTCATGTTTACATAACAAAAATTCCGGAGAAGTTTGGAGACAAGAGTACAACAGATTATACAGAAGAAGTGGTCACAGGAATGTGGCGTGTTCCCACTATACGGAGGAACTAACTTTGTACTGGATTAAAATAAACTTTTCCTGTAAAATTCTTGTGTTATATTAGCATGCTCACAGTGGGAGTACGGCATGCTAAACCAGTACTACCTAAGATATGAACTTGCAACTGTACACAATTGTAATTCCGTACGAACATCATCGATTAATGTAGACCATTACTTATAATGACTTTAGTCAAGACTAAGTATCTACATGAAGGTGCCTGATTACTTCTAGCCACAGAAGTATCCGTAAGGATAACTAAAAACACCTGACATATGTATTTGAAATATAGGACGAGAACTCAGGCACCATGCTAGAGTATGATTTCACCATAGGGTGAATATATTCAAAAGTAATTCGTTGTTCATCCTTCTATGCCTGGCCTAGCATCCCTGGGAATTCAACCGAAATGTCATTTTAGACTAACCAAAAGAATTCACATTTTCAATAGAGTGTTTACGGCACGTTATAGTAACACAATGCACTAAGTTGTTCAAAATATTTCAGTTCAAAAGTGATGTCAGCCCTTATGATTACGCGTGCTAACATAAAACCCAACAAGATATTTACACGGGACAGGCAGCTGAGTCAGTGGAGTCGTAGCAATCGCAGCACTACTCCTCTCACACTGAACTATTCCACCAAGTGCTTCTTCACATCTTGCTTATGACTTCTACCTCTGTCTCTCCCTGAGGACAAATTTATTTCCGCTCAAATAGAATAAGAAAAATGTGGGTATATAAAACGAAAAATAGTAACAAGTAAGTGTATGTATAGAATTTTTTCGTAATTACTTCCGTGATGTAGGAG